TTTAGCGTTGCATAGTATTCCATTGTGTGAATGTACCAAAGTTTGGTTATCCATTCCTCAGTTGTTGGACATCTAGGTTGTTTCCAAGTTTTGGCTACTAAATGTATTATTTTTAAAATTTTATTTATTATTAATTTTTTTTCTTCAGTGTTCCATCCCCTCCCCTCCTACTCCGGTACCAACAAACAAAGTTTCCTTCCATATATAAACCTTTCCTTGACTTTTTACAAAAATGAACTAATACAATATTTGTCCTTCTATGATTGACTAATTTCACTCAGCATAATGTCCTCCAAGTTCATTCACATTACATGGTATTCCACAGATTCTACATTACTCTTCAGTGTTGTACAGTATTCCTTTGTGTGTAACACCATAGTTTGGCTATCCATTCTTCTGTTGGTGGGCACTTAGGTTGTTTCCATCTTTTTGCTATTGTAAATAGTGCTGCAAAGAACATGGGTGTGCATATATCTGTTCTTGTCCTGGCTCTCATTTCCCTAGTAATGGGATTGCTGGATCAAATGGTATTTCTAATTCCAACTCTGTAAGGACTCCCATACTGCTTTCCACAGTGGTTGCATCACTTTACAGTCCCATCAGCAGTGTATGAGAGTCCCAATCTCTCCACATCCTTACCAGCATTTGTTATTTTCTGTCTCATTGAACTTTGCTACTAGTGCTGGGGTGAGATAGTATTTCATTGTTGTTTTGATTTGCATCTCTCTAATGGCTAATGATCACGAACATTTCTTCATATGTTTATTGGCACCTGAATATCCTTTTTGGTGAAGTGTCTATTCATGTCTTCTGCCCATTTTTAAATTGGATTGTTAATCTTTTTGTTGTTGAGTTGTTGGAGTTTTCTATAAATTTTATTGTCAAATATTTTCCCAATCTGTAGGTTCTCTTTTTATTCTTTTGAAGAAGTCTTTGGAAGCACATAAAAATTTAATTTTCAAAAGGTCCCATTCAGAGAAAGAAGAGCTGCTTATGCACAGGGAGACAGCTCAGGGGGCAGGAGTGTATGGAGAGTGGACACAGGGAAGAGGTAACTATCAGGGAGCTGTTGCATTGTGGTAAATTGCAGTCAATGTCATGAGACAAAGTGTATGTGAACCACTGTATGGAAAGTGAATTTGCTCTGTAAAATTTCACCCAAATCACAATTAAAAAAAAAATAATAAAAATTATATATAAAAAAGGTCCCATTCATCTAGATTATCTTTAGCTGTCTGTACATTTTGGGTTATGTTTGACAGTCTATTTATGCCATAAATGAGGGCCCCTAAATTTGCCTCCATTTTTTCTTTGAGGAACTTTATAGTTTTAGGTTTCACATTTAAGTCTGTGATCCATCTGGAGTTAGTTTTTGTGTATGGTGTGAGGTGCAGATTTTGTTTCATTTTTCTGCAAATGGATATCCTGTTTTGCCATCCCCATTTGTTAAAGAGACCACTTCTTCACCATTTAATGGATGTCAGCCCTTTGTAAAAAATCAGCCGACCATAGGTTGATGGATCTATTCTGGGTTCTCAATTCTGTTCTACTGGTCTATCATTGTACCAATACCAGGCTGTTTTGACTACTGTATAGTAGGTTGAGGTCTCTTTCCTTTCCATATGAAATTAGTGATTTTTCCCACATCCTTAAAGAATGCTGATAGGATCTGGATTGGGATTGCAATGAATGTATAGACTGCTTTGAGTAGTACTGACATTTTCATAATGTTCAATCTTCCTATCCACAAGCATGGTTAGGTTCTTCCATTTATGTAGATCTCTTATGGTTTCTTGGAATAGTCCTTTGTAGTTTTCTTTGCTGGTGTAGAGGAATCCGACTGATTTTTGTATACTGATCTTGTATCCTGCCACTATGCTAAATCTCTCAATTAGTTCCAGTAGTTTTTTTTGCTGAGTCTCTTGGGTTTTCTAGGTATAGGAACATACCATCAGCAAATAGGGATAGTTTCACTTCTTCCTTACCAATTTGGATGCCTTTGATTTCCCTTTCTTGCCTTATTGCCCTGGCTAGGACTTCCAATACAATGTTGAATAGAAGTGACAATAGAAGGCATCCTTGTCTGGCTCCTGTTCACAAGGGGAATGGTATCAGTCTCTCTCCATTGAGAATAATGTTGGCTGTTGGTTTTGCATATAAGCCCTTTATTATGTTGAGGAATATACCTTCTATTCCTATTTTGCTGAGAGTTTTTATCAGCAAAACCAGTTTTCATTGTGTATATATACCATAGTTTGGTTATCTGTTCTTCTGTTGATGGGCACCTAGGTTTTTCTTATCTTTTTGCTATAGTAAATAGTTCTATGATGAACATGGGTATGCATATATCTGTTGTATACTGATCTTGTATCCTGCCACTATGTTTTTAAAAACCCAGTTTTTAACTCGGTTGGGTTATGTCATCAAGTGTGTGAATGAATGGTCAGTTGTTTGCTGTTGTTGGTTCTCTGTTCAAAGGACACCCTTTAGCATGCTTTGTAAGGTTGGTCTGGTTTTAACAAATTCCCTTAATTTCTGATTATCTGGATATGCTCTAATTTCACCATCATATTTGAGGGACAGTTTTGCCGGGTATATGATTTTTGGTTGGAAATATTTTTCTCTCAGGGTTTATATATTCCATTTCATTACCTTCTCACCTGCATGGTTTCTGCCAAGAAATCAGACCTTAATCTTATTGGTTGCCGTAGGTAGGTAACTTTTTGTTTTCCTGTGCTGCTTTCAGGATTGTTTCTTTGTCTTTGGTTTTGGCAAGTTTGATGAGGATATGTCTTTGTGATTTTCTTTTGGGGCCTATCCTGTTTGGGGTTTGTTGAACTTCTTGAATGGATATATTTTTGTCTTTCATCATATCAGGGAAATTCTCTTCCAACAAATATTTGACAATTTTTTCTGTGTTTTTATTTTTCTCTTCCTGTTCTGGAATTCCAATGACACATACAGGTTATTTCTTTTGATAATATCCCATATGAACTTTATACTTTCTTCATTTTGTTTTGATCTTTTTTCTGACTGATCCCTTTCCAAAGAAGTACTGAGGTATTTGTCTTCAATCTCACTAATTCTGTCTACTATTGATTCAATGCTACTCCTTTGCCCATTCAACGTGTTATCTATTTCTAAAAATTTAGTATTAAGCTTCTGGATTTCTATGTGTAGATTTTGTATCATTTCTAATTTTTCATTTATTTTGTCATTTTGTTCTTGTATTGCCTTCCAAAATTGTTCTAGGGTTTTCTCTGTGTTTTACTTGATCTGTCTCTCAATCCATTGAAGGCACCTAAATATAATTCTTTTAAATTCCTTATCAGGGAGTTCCAATGCTGTTTCTTCCTCAGGGATGTGTTCTGGATCTCTGCCCTGGTCCCTTGTTTCTACTGCTTTATCTTGCTTCTTTGTGTGGACTGTGATGGTCTGTTGTCTCCGAGACATTGTGACATTTTTGTATTTACATTTAATTGGTGATTGTACATTGGAGTGACTCACTCAAGATTTTCATTTTCTTTGTTTTGTTTGAATGTTATCTGAGTAAGCAGGGTACTGTACTCTTCTATTCGCTAGTAGGCAGCACTTAAGCACTTACCACCTATCTCCTTTCCAGTCATCAGCCTCCTGTATGTCTGTGCTGTTCTTTGCAAGTTGAGCCTATTCTTAGATCCTTGGAATCTGAACAAGAATGCTGCCACTTTAAATATCCAAAATGACTGCCACTTGTAAACACTGAAAATGGCTGTGCCCACTGGACAGCTGAAAGTCCACAGCTCAGTTTGTTTCCTTCTTTGCTGTTTGCCTTTTTTAGTCTTTGCCATGAGCCACAGTCATCCATGCAGCGCTTGGTAAGAAGGGCTGATTTTTAGGTTAATTCTCAGGTCCTAACACCACTTGGAAATATTCAGGCTGTCCATGCCATCAGGATAGCTGACAGTCCGCAGCTCCGTTTGTCTCCTTACTTACTGTTTTCATTCAGGTACTGTTGTTGTTGTTATGTGCTGTCGAGTAGGACCCAACTCATAGTGACCCCTCCTTGGGTTGCCGAGGTAGTATCACTACGGAAGTAGATTGCCCCATCTTCCACCAGGAGTGGCTGGTGGGTTTGAACCGCCAGCCTTCTGGTTAGCAGTCAAGTGCCTTAGCCACTATGCTACCAGAGCTCCCCATTCAGGTACTAGTTGGTGTTTAATCCACTTCTATATCCTTCCTTTCAAAGCTCAGGGCTCCAGGATCATGGTCTTTATCTCTGTCAATTGGTTTCTCTTTTCTTTGTTGAAGAGGGTCTGTGTAGCTTGTCTGCCTACTCTGCCATCTTACTGAAGTCAAGTTTCTAAATGTATTTAAAATAAAACCTCTTAAATAGGTATCAACCTCAAAGGAAGGCAAGACTCAACTAACTAGCAAACTCAGAGATTAAGGTTCCCTTAACTGACACTTAGTATCAAAGACACTGACTAAATTGAACCTTCTAAATTTCCCCTTCAGCAACTCTTCTCTTACCCTTTAAGCCCCTTCAGGTCTCTAGGAAAAATGTTATACAACCTTCCTAGTTTTGGCAAATAGGCACTGCTAGATCTGTGGTCCTGCCCTAACTCTCTGCTTTATAGAGCCCAGCCCATTCTTGCCTGGGTTGCAGGAAATTAGACAAATGCTGTTGCCTGCAGCTGCCACTCTTGGACTCAGGATCTGCTCTCCATTTATTCCAAACTTCCTGTTTTGCCTGTTTCCTTAGGTCTCCATGTTGCTCGGCGTTGGTTCCAATGTGCCTTTCCTAAATGCCTTCTGCCTGCTGTCTCTACCCTTTCCCAAAGCCCTATTTGCTGGGCTGCCTCCTAGTCTCAGCCTCTGCACCTCACAGGTCAGCACTACCAGTTCCTATGATGCCACATACCACACCTTGGCTCAGGGGCTTGGCTAAGTGTCTAGGCAGGTAACTGGACAGTAGCCGTTGCTCATCTACCCCTCCAAATCTACCACCTGGCTTTTTTTTTTTTTTTTTTAATTTGAATTCTCCTCATAGGGAGCACAATATTTCTTGGAACACCTTGCTCCTCTTTGGCAGTCGGTCACTGAAGCTCATACTTGGGATTGAGGCATGCTACTGGCTGACAAATCTGTCCTGGAAGAAGTGCAGCCAGAATGCTCCTTAAAAGCGAGAATGGCCAGACTTTATCTCAGCTACTCTGGTCATGTTGTCAGAAGGGACCAGTCCCTGGAGAAGGATTATTATGCTTGGTAAAGTAGAGGGTCAGCAAAAAAGGGGTAGGCCCTCAATGAGAGGCGCTGACACAGTGGCTGTCTGCTCCTGTAAGTCCTTTACCCATGCTGCTCCAGATGGCTGGGATGTCCCCCAACCAAGCTTTCCAGTCTGCCCCATTCTGCTGTGCTATGATTACCCAGGACATGCTTCACCTCAATTAAATGGAATAAATGCCATAGATCTTCAGCAAGAAGTGGGCAGCAGGAAAAATTAAAGAGAGGATAACTGAAAAAGCTTTGCAGCTACTCCTAAATTTAACTTTCATACGCTAGCTTCATTTATCTCATATGTGAATTTACGTATCAGATGGCATGCCCTAATTTAAACATAAGTACAAAAGCAGACTCAGAAGTCAAACACAAATGAACTGGGCTTCATGTCTCTACTTTTATCTTCCGATGAAGAAAGTGATTATGTGTAAGACATAAGTAAAGGAGAAGCAAATACAAAAGGAAATCAAGCAAAATCAAAGGCTGGAAAAAAAGAATAAGCAATTCTTTTTCAAGAGGACAATATGATGAAGCTTCAACAGTATGAGTACCATGAGGGCTCCTATGACCATGTAATAATATAACTTTGATGAAGGGCCAAGTGACACCAAAGGTCAATACAATAGTATATTAAACGTTTTATCTGAAATAGAGAAATGGTTATCCACATTCTTCTACTTGCTAATAGCACACAATTATGGCTTCATTACCCAGGTCATTATTCTTCGTGATGGCAGCTGCCACCCTCGTTCGAGGCCCTTGCTTGGTGAACTGGTATCCAAACTTGAGGATCCTTGAATTCTCCTCGAGCATCTGCGCAATTTCCATTTCTACGGCCGTTCCCAACTGCTGTCTCTGGTTTGTGGTTACAGACACACATATAGGACAGCCAAGAATGAAGAGAAAAGAGTTACTTCCATGGGAAAGATACATGGCTACTTTTTGGACAAAAAGGCAAACAGGAAAAAGTTTCAAATTGAAAGGGACAAAGTTGCCTGAGGTATCTTCTCCCACAGAGTCATTTGAGTCTTTTGTCTAGAAGCAAAATCTAGCAGATAGCAGAATCTGCTGGCATTCTAACCTGAGAAACTAAGCAAATATATTTGTGACATAAAGATGATTCCAGAAGCAAAATTAGAGCCAAACCAGTATTTGGTGTTTCCAATCCACCCAGTACTTGTGATTGAAAACAAAGAATGTTTGTAAATGGTGAAAGTGTCTTACAGCAATCAATCCAATGATTGAATTTTCTATTCTGGAAGCCATATCTGAAAATTATTAAAGATGATCAACTCTATGGCTGACTCTCTCAGCAGAGTCTCACTAGGCGATCCCAAAGAGGCTTTAGTGTGGTTTAAATCATACCCATGGCCAGGTGAATTGTCAAACACTAAAAAGGGGCTATTAGGCAACAGAAAAATGTCTAAGTTTTAAAATTTGGTAGGATGAGTTTTCTGTTTTTTAAGCTAAGGCATAGAATAACAAAAAATAAAAAGCAGATAAAAAAACACATGAAGGCATGTTAAATGTAGGAATTTAAAATTAAAAGGACATAGTATATTTACAATTTTTTTAAAAATTAAAAGTACAGGCTTGTTGAGAAAAGCAAACAAAAAAAGTTTGTAAAACATAAAAGCCACCTGATTCACCAACATTCCCACTCTCCATAAAGCCAAGTAGGTAGTGTTCTCAACATTTTCTATGCATGCATATATCTATACAATCACAGGTATACCTATGCTTTTTTTTCCCCCACAAAACTAGATTATACTACAACGTTCTGAAACATGCTTTTTATTTTTCATTTAACATTATATTAAGGACATCTTTTCATGCTGGGTAAGTATATCGTTACTTCATCCTTTCAAACAGTAGAACTACATTCCACTGTGCTATCTCATGTATTTAGCTAAGCCTACTGATTTATCACATTTCTTTCTGTTTTCTGCTGCATCAAACAATGCTGCACAAAATCTCCCTTGTACACACAGTATATCCTTGGGAATTTCTGCAATGTGACTGTGGAGCAAATTATAGTGGGGTCCATGGTTAGGCATGTTTCAAATTTGGGATATATTACTGAATTGCCCTGAAAGGTTGTGGCAATTTATACACAGTGTCTAATAGCTCTGGTGGCATAGTGCCTAAGGCATTTGACTGCTAACCAGAAGGCGGGTGGTTCAAACTCACAAGCTACTCCTTGGAAGGAAGGTTGGGCAATCTACGTCCATAGAGATACCACCTTGGAAACCCAAGGAGGGGTCACTATGAGTTGAATTGACTTGACGTCAGTGAGTTTTTTTGTTTTTTTTTGTTTTAATTTTATTTTGATTTGGGTGAAGATTTACAGAGTAAATTCACTTTTCATACAGCAGTTCACATATACTTTGTCTCATGTCATTGACCAAAATTTAT